CCCGGCCCGCACGGCCCCGGCGGCTGGGCCGACCGCGCCTGCCGGAGCACGCTCCCGGCTTTCCTCTGCAAGTTCAGCTTCCAGGGAATGTGCGGGCTCCTGCCGCTGGCCGGCCGCGGCGCGGTCACCTACGCCACCCCGTTCGGGGTGCGCAGCGCCCGGCTGGCCGCCGCTCCCTTCGGCACGCTGGCCGAGGTGGAGTGCGACAGCGGCCGGGCCTCGGCCTTCGCCGTCTGCAAGGGGCCGCTGGCCGGGGGTGGCTTCGCCTGGCACCCGCCGGGTCCCCTGTGCCCGGTGGACTGCGGCCACCACAACGGGGGCTGCCAGCAGCGCTGCCTGGATGCGCCCGGCGAGTCCCCGCGCTGCGCCTGCCACCCCGGCTACGTGCTGGCCGCCGACATGGCCTCCTGCGTTCCCGAGGATTTCTGCCATCCCAATCCCTGCCAGGGGTCCTGCCGGGCGCTGCCCGGCGGCTTCGAGTGCGGCTGCGAGCCTGGCTACGCCCTGGCAGCCGACGGGCGCGGGTGCCGGGATGTGGATGAGTGCGAGTCGGGGCCGTGCCAGCACCAGTGCCACAACACTCCCGGCGGCTTCCAGTGCCTCTGCCGGCCCGGCTACCGCCCCGCGGGGCCCGCTGGCCACCGCTGCCACGACGTGGATGAGTGCGCCCAGCCCCACGCGTGCCCGCAGCTCTGCATCAACATTCCCGGCTCCTTTCGCTGCGCCTGCCGGCCCGGCTTCCAGCGGCAGCCGGGAGGAGAGTCCTGCCTGGATGTGGATGAATGCCTGCGGGATCCGTGTCCCGGCGCCTGCCGCAACTTTCCCGGCGGCTACGAGTGCCTGTGCCCGCCTGGCTCCCTCCGGGACGCGGATGGGCACGGCTGCAGCCCCGGAGAGGCGATCCCAAACAGTATCCCAGAGAGCTCGAGCATCCCGCAGAGCTCCAGCAGCATCCCACAGAGCTCCAGCAGCACCCCACAGAGCTCCACCGTCATCCCGCAGAGCTCCGGCATCCCACAGAGCTCCGGCATCCCGAAGAGCTCCGGCATCCCAGGCACCACGCGCATCCCATGGACCACGAGCATCCCGCGTACTCTGGGAATGCCCACGGCGGGATTAGGGGCCGGCTCGGACGACGGCCCGCGGCTGCTGCTCTATTACATCGTGGGCAGCCTGGTGGCCATCCTGCTCCTGCTGGCGTTCGCCCTGGCGCTCGTGGCTTGCAGGAAAAGGGCGGCCAAGAGGGAGAAGCCGCCGGCCAAAACCGCGGCCGATAATTATTGCTGGGTGCCCGAGCAGCCCGAGAGCCGCGGGGAGCGCAGGTAGGAGAGGGTTAAAAATCCCGATAAAAGGGTGGGAGGGAATGCTTTGTGCCCAAAGTGAGCTCCTCTGGCTGTTCCAGTGGGATTTGCAGTCCTGCTGCTCCAAGGGTTAACGACAGGGGAGAGGGGATGGGGTGGAATTTGTCTCTTCAGCTCGGCTCCAAAAGGCAAAATCGGAATTATTGGATCGTGTTCCTAAAGGGAAACTGCTCACTTGGAATTCTCCTGCAGCCCCTTGTGCACTGCCCCCTCTGGGTTTGTCTTGTTCTCCTGGAAAAGGGTTTGAAGTTGGGATGGAAAAGGGTTTGAAGTTGGGATGGAAAAGGGTTTGAAATTGGGATGTGCCTCAGCAGAGCTCGAACAGGCCCCTGCAGGCACAGCCAGGGTGGGGTTTAAGGGTTACTTTTGGGGTTTAATTACAAATCTGTCACCTGAAACCAGGGAAAACTGCTCATCATGGAGCCAAGGAATGGCATAAAGGTAGGAAAAGCTGTGTTTGGAATAACCACCTCCTCATTTCCTGAGTATCCTGCCTAAATACACTTCTAAACAGAGAAAACAATGCTCTCCTTCCCATCAGCCACATGAGAGTCTGGGCTTTTCCTGTTGGATCATTTGTTTTGAGAAGGATCCTTCCCAGCTCCAGGCTGAGCATGTTTTCCTTCTTTCCCTGTGTAAGGAACACGCTGGAATTGGAATATTTGCTGATTATTCTGAGTAAAACTCGTAACTCAAGACTCTCCAGGTCAAGTTGCTCCCCAGGTACTTCCCAAAACTCCTTGAGCCTTTTCCAGCCTTTCCAGTGGGAATTCTCCCCAAAATTCTGAGGGGCACACCCAGCAACACCTCCTCCATGGTTTATCCATGCTATGAAGGGCTGGAAAAGATCAGCCACAGGATCTGAAGGGTCCAGCAGCTTCCTGAAGTTTCTGTTGGAGTTATTTTGTCCCTGGAGCTGAATTGCTCCAGGAATGGGAATAGAACACAAAGGAGTTTGTGGTGGGCAGGGAGCTGCATCCTGTCATTCCATGTGCTGAGGAAAACCCTTTCCTGCTTTTTTCTTGTCTTGGGGCTCCATTGTGAGCTGCAAACAGGAAAATTGAGCTGATAGGAACGTTTTCTGTGTGGTGCCTGTATTGGGAGAAAGGGAGAGAATGCAGCAGCAGGATTCTTGGAAATCCTGCCGAAAATTCCCAAATCCCAAGCCAGCAGAGCATTGGAAATAGCTGGATCAATGGAGGAAATCCCATTTAATTATGCTGGATTTGGATCTGTGGGAAGTGACAGCCTTGGGGTTTTTTATGGGATATAAGGCTATAAAAATGGAAAAGGAAGGGTGAGGGTAGAAGAAGAACTGGGAAAAATCTGAGGTGTGCTGTTTATAAAAAATAAAAATCCCAATTTCTGTTACAACCTCTGTGTATTCCATTGGGGAATGATGGTTTATCTAGGAGAAGACAGGAATTTGTAGCAAGGTTTAGGTTGGATTCTCCCTAATGGAATATTTCCTGCTGTAGCATCCTCCCTCCTGGTGCAATTCCACCTGGACCCAGCCTCATGTCTCTCATTTTTCCTGCCACATCTTGATCCGTGGCCTCCTTAGGGAGTTGTCCAGGGACTGGTGAATCCCACAAGTTGGAGCAGGATAATTTGGTGCCCTGTCTTCCACAGGAGATGGGATGTTCATCCTGCTCCTTGGAGATTTTTGTCATGGATGAGTGTTTTGCTTTCTCAGAATGAAACTCTTGGATTTGCAGGATAAAGTTATCCCAACACCTTTCTCCAATGAAATTCCATGAAAACCTGAACAAAAATGTGTTTGCAGTGGGTTTTAATAAAAATATTCCTAAAAAATCCATGGTCTGTTGCTCCTAATCTTTTGTGTTCCCCACAGCGGGTGGATGGTGATCCCAAATCCTTTCCTAAGGCTTATTCCATGATCTCAGCCTTTCCCAGGATCTGTGGTCCTGGGCAGGTGCCATTCCCTTCATCCCTGCTGGGGCCATGGGGTGGGAGCATTGGGATGGGCTCTGTTGGATCCCAGTACCACAAGGAAGGTCCTGAATTCATGAGGAAGGTCCCAAACCCATGGAAAAGGTCCCAAAGCCACAAGAAAAGCCCTAAATCCATCAACAGGGTCCCAAACCCACAAGCAAGGCCCTAAACCCAGGAGGAAGGGCCCAAATCCATGAACAAGATCCTAATCCTATGACCAAGTTCCTAAAACCACGAGGAAAGACCACGAGGAAGGAGCTCAACCCACGGGCAAGGTCCTGAGACCATGACCAAATTCCTAAAACTGTGAGCAAGGCCCCAGTCTCATGACCATGTTGTCAATCCCACAACCAAGATCCTGATTCCATGGCCAAGGCCCCAATCCCACAACCAAGGTCCTGATTCCATGTCCGAGGCCCCAATCCCCCAACCAAGGTCCTGAGTCCATGGCCAAGGTCCCAATCCCACAACCAAGGTTTCAATCCCATGACCAAGGCCCTAATCCCATGACCAAGATCCCAAATCCTTGAGCAATCCCTTTGATTTCAGCACTGTTGTACGCGAGGGCTTTTTCGGGATCAAATAATAGGATAGACCTCTTTTAGATCCTATTATCCCATGATATTTCTTATTATTTTACATTCCATTGCTTTCCATTCCTTCATGGACAACTGCCAGCATTCCAACAGAGCAACCTCATCCCAAAACCCTGCAGAGAAGCCAAAAATTCCCCCCTGTTGACACAAACTCCCGGATTCGGGGGTCAGGACAAGCATTCCAAGTGCCCACTCTGAGCAGGGTGACAGGGACAGCCGGGATGAGTCAGAGCCAAAGGGAAAGGCAGGGAAAACATGATTAATGGGATTGGGGAAGAGGAAAAGCAGCCTGTCAGCAGGCAGGGCAATGCTGGCACCCTGACTCAGCCTGTGGAGCAGTGGGATAAAAGGGAATTATGAAAGCGTGATTAATCCCATTCCTCCCACCCCATCCCGATTATCTTTTAGGGACAAACGCTGTCAGTCGGGCAAGGCCAGCGAAGTGGGATCATTGTTTGGGAAGGCTCTGTTTTTTCCTGGAAAAAACCTTGACAAGGAATTTTTTATCTGGGTTTGCAGTTACTGAAAAAAAAAAAAAAATATAACAGCAGGAGCAGAAATTTATTGTTTTGGGGTTTTTTCATCTCCACCACATTCTATTTTTCTTCTTTTCCTGGAGTTTGCCAGGATGTTTTCCCCCCTCTCTTGGTAGTTTTCTCCGGAAAACATAAGCAGAAGTAAAAGGAGAAGTGGAAGAAGAATTGGAAATAGTGAAAATTGTGGCAACAACAGGTTTTCCTAAAGTCAATAAAGGTCAGAGTTATCCAGCTCCCAGGAGATTCCTGGGAATGATCCTGCTTGGATAAATTCTTTGTTCCAAGCTCCCCCATGGACACTTTCTCCTTGAGGTTCATCCCTGCTGCTGGAATTAAATTCCATGGACATTTCTTTTCAATTTTTGTGGCAGATCCAAAATGTCCAATGGGATTAAAGAAGAGTTCATTATTAATTATTAATTATTAAATTATTCTTATTCTTATTCTTCCCAACTTCCCTTTTCCCCACAGCCTCACGGGATTTATGGGAAGCACCCAGGGTTGTGAGAGGACAAAACAAACCCCAAGGGTTTAAGAAAGGACAAACAAAGTTCAATAAAGTTCACTAAAATTTAATAAAGAAACCTCCTTGCCATGATCCGAGGAAATTGGTATTTGCTGCTCATCCCAAAGGCCAGTTGCAGTGCCCGGGGCTGTTGGAATTCCATGAAAAAACAGCCTCAAATCCCCTTTTTGTGCAGTGGAGAAGCTTGGGACATTTAGGTTGCATTTTTACGTTGCTCCTGGCTCTGTTCTGGCAGCACAGGGGGATCCCCCAAGGACAAACTGATGGAATGGGATATCCATTCGGAGGTGTCTGTGGGGAATAGGAGAGATGGGGAGAATAGTAATAATACTGCTTAATAATAATAATAATACCAAATAGTAGAACTATATAAATTACATATAACTAGAGATGGAAATACATAATTATATGTTAATTTTTTATTAAAGAAGTTTTCCCTAATCAAACCTAAACCGTTTCCCTTCATCCCGTTCATTATTCCCTGGGGGCAGATCCCGATTACACCTGACTCCACCCTCCTGTCAGGGATCGCGGAGAGGGAAAAGGCCCCCCCTGGAGCCTCCTTTTCCCCAGGCTGAGCCCCTTTCCCATCTCCCTCCTGGTGCTCCAGCCCCTTCCCGGCTCCATTCCCATCTCTGGACACGGTCCAACCTCTCTTCTTTCCATTCTGGATCCAGAGCTGAACGCAGGATTTCAGCTGTGACCTCCGCAGTGCCATCCCTGTGGCAGCAGCTCAGTGACATCCCAGCGGGACGAAGATCCCAGGGGGATGATGATCCCAGCGGGATGATGATCCCAGCGGGGTGATAACTCCCAGCCGCCACCCCGAGGCCCCCTCGTGTGAAATCCCGCCGTGTTTCCCCCTTTTCCCGAGGCTCACCCTGTTTTCCCCGGCTCCCGCGGGTCCCCCGCCGCTGCCGCCCCCCCGCGCTGTCGGGCGGGCCCCGCCGGGGCGGAGCCGCCGGAGGATGCGGGAGGGGACGCGGGGCTGCGGGGCGGGGGCGGGGGCAGCGCCCGGCCGGGATTCACCGCCGCAGTCCCTCCCGGCCCCGCGGGCGCTTCCTTCCCCCGCCGGGGCCGCTATAAAGGGGGCGGCCGGGCGGAGCGGCCCATGCTCAGCTCGGGGCGCCGCCGGCCGCCCCCTCCGCGGGCCATGCGGCCGCTGCTGCCGCTGCTGCTGCCGCTGCTGCTCGGGACGGTGGCGCTGGCACAGCCTCGGGACCTGTCCCCCGCGGGCGCGCAGTGCCTGGAGCACGAGTGTTTCGCCGTGTTCTGGGCGTCCCGGTCCTTCTCGGGCGCCAGCGAGGGCTGCGAGCGGGGCGGGGGACACCTCATGACCGTGCGCTCCACCGTGGCCGAGGAGGCGATCGCGCTGCTGCTTCAGAACCGCGAGGGGCGGCTCTGGCTCGGGCTGTCGCTGTCGCCCTCCTTGTCCTGCACCGAGCCCAGCCGGCGGCTCCGCGGTTTCCGCTGGATCACCGGCGACCGCAGCACCGATTACACCAACTGGGCGCCGTCGGGGCAGCGCTGCGGCGAGCGCTGCGTGACCGTGTCCCGGGAGCTGCGCTGGGAGGAGCGGCGCTGCGAGGAGCCGGCCGACGGCTTCCTCTGCCAGTACAGCTACGGAGGCAGCTGTCCCCGCCTGGCCACCCTGCACGGCGTCCCCGTCACCTACGCCACCCCTTTCGGCGCCCGCGGAGCGGACTTCCTGGCGCTGCCTCCGGGCAGCGTGGCGTTCATCCCTGACCTCAGGCTGGAGCTGCGCTGCGGGGACGGGGACGGCGCGGGGCCGCGCTGGGGCCGCGACACGCCGGGAGCGTGGCCCTGCGAGCTGGCCGGCGGTGGCTGCGCGGGGACGTGCGCGGAGGAGCGCGGGCGGCCGCGCTGCTCCTGCCCCGAGGGCGCGGTGCTGGGCCCGGACGGGCGCGGGTGCCGCTCGCCCTGCGAGGGAGCGCAGTGCCAGCATCACTGCGTGGTGGCCGACGGCTCCTTCGTGTGCATGTGCTCCGTGGGGTACCGGCTGGCGGCCGACGGCGTCAGCTGCGAGGACATCGACGACTGCGCCAGCGAGCCCGGCCCGTGCGAGCAGAAGTGCGTGAACACCAAGGGCGGCTTCGAGTGCCAGTGTCACAGCGGCTACAGGATGGTGGACGGGCACTGCCAGCGCCTGCCGCCCTGCTGGGAGATGCCGTGCCAGCAGCGCTGCGAGGAGCTGCCCGACGGCTACCGCTGCGGCTGCCACCCCGGCTACGCCGTGCACCCGCTGGACGCCACCCGCTGCCGCCTGCACTGCAACACCTCCGAGTGCCCGGCCGTGTGCGACGCCGACGGGGCCTGCGAGTGTCCCGAGGGATTCATGCTGGACGACGAAGACCAGCTGTGCGTGGACCTGGATGAGTGCGACAGCGGTCACTGCGAGTTCAACTGCACCAACACGCCCGGTGGCTTCCAGTGCCATTGTCCCCACGGCTACCACCTCCGCGGCGTCGACTGCATCTCCATCCTGGACGGGGACGGCGAGGAAGCGTCCTCGGGGGATTTGGAGCTGGAGCCGCACACGCCAGTCCCCAGCCGGCCCCCGCCGAAAGAGGAGAAGCTGCACCCCGGGGTGCTGGTGGGCATCGCCGCGGGTGCCCTTGTGAGCCTCCTGGCCCTGCTGGCTCTGGGATTCCACCTGGCCAGGAAGCGCTGCCGCTCCCACGGCTCCATGGATTACAAGTACAGCGGCCCCCACGAGAAGGAGCTGGGACTTCAGCCCGTGCCCTCGGCGCAGAAGCCGTAGGGACAGCGGGCAGGACGGACACGGGACACTGGGAGGCCGGACTGGGTGACATTTATCCGCCCCCCCCCCCCCCCCCCCCCAAGCCCCTTCGCGCCCCGGCTGGAATTTTTGGATGATAATTCGGGAGAAGCTGTGATCACATCACTCCCAGAAATACTCGCTGCTTCCCGGCCGGCTCTGGGAAAGCTGGCGCCGGAGAGCGGGGACAGCAGAACACCCCGAGGCTGCTCCGCTCCTGCTCCGTTCCCGCTTCTTTGGCGTTCAGCTTTCCTTTTCCCGAGCCGGCGGTCGGGAAAACCGCAAGGAAAAATCCAGGAGGGGCGGCTCCGTGTGCAAGTGACTCTAAATCCGCGGGATGAGAGCACGGTGTGACCAAGGCGGGGACTTTGGAAGGACACCTCCACCCAAATCCCTCTCCCCCGGGCTGGATGGTTTTCCTGAGCTGGGAGGCTCCTGCTTTCCTTTGGGATGGGGTTTGTTTGTTTTAAGCTGAGGGGAGGAGGAGCAAAGATGTTGTGGGAAGCACTTGTCACCTTAAGCCACTGGTGACAGCAGGGTCCCGGCTCGGTGTCACCAAGGTGGGACTCAAATTCCTGAATCCCATTCCCTCTCCTTATTTTTTGCGGGATGTGGAGGTTAAACAGGGACATGAAGGCTGCCGGGGTGAATTTTGTAGGAAAGGTCTGCGGTGCTGCAGAGCCACATCCAGGTCCTTCCATGACTTTCCGCTGTTGTTGCCTTAAATTCGATTGTTGGATTTGGGATATTTTTACGACCCCTCCTACCCACAGGGATCTTCCCTGTTCCCTCGTGCAGGGCTGACTCTATCCCAAGGCAAAACATTCCCAGGGGGTGGGATCCAGCGCGCCGCTCATTCCCTGCCAGTGGCTGGGGGGGAATTCTGAGAAGGGTCTGGTTTTCCAGCTCCATCCTTCCCTGGGGAGCCAAAGGGGGCCCTGCTCCGGCTGCCGTTGGAGCAGGCACTGGCAGCTTTATGCCAGTGAAATATTATCCCGGAGCGGCGGAAGTTTTGTTCTGTTCCCCCACATTCCCCCCTCCCACCCTATGAACTTCCCAGCGCACAGCATCCCCGCTGGAATGCTAAACCTCCGCTGCAAATTCCCAGGAAAATAAAAATGAGACATCTGTAGGAATTGTGGTTTTCCTAAAAGGTCGTTGTCCTGATAACTGAGGGTGCTGTCTATGGATCCCTTGGGATGGATTAAAGTGAAACCTCACGGAGTGAGGGCGGTAAATTTGTGGATGTGCCAGGTTTATTTTAGGACAGTTTGGCTGCAGTGGGTAGGAGGGAGCTGTTGTGATCATCCATAATTATCCATGATTATCCAGAAAGAGATATCAAGATATAAAGGTGTCACTTGGGAAAATACCCAAGGAAAAGGAAGGGAAAGAAAGGATAAGGTTTGAGAGTGGAAGGACTTTGCTGAGGCATCATCCCACCTGCAGAATCTGCTTCCCAAGGATCTTTCCTTTTTATCCAGCTCAAACCCTTGCTTGTTCCTGGGTGGATCCAAGGTTTTGCCACCACATCCCCAAAATCTCCTCCTCCCCCCTAATCTCAAATTCCCACTGGGGAGTTTTATCTTATCACAAATTCCTTCCTTATGGTGTGTCGGAGTCCTGAATTCCCGGCACTCCCTGTTTTATCCTCTCCCCACCCTGGCCTGCTCCCCCCGGGCCCATTTGTAAATCCTTATTTATTTATTGGAATTTTACCATGTGTGATGGAATTGTCTCATGGAGATCCTGTGTGGACAACAATAAAGTTTTGCCAGTCTGGTTCAGAGGAACTGCTCAGGGATTGTTCTTTCTCCCCTTCCCAAAAATTCCACCAGAAATCCAGGAAAACCCAGGAGCATTCAGGGCAGCACAGGGATGAAAATGTTCCCGGCTGGTTACTTCCCCATTGGGATGAAAATGGAAGGAGTGAGCCATAAATAATGGACACCACCAACAATACCATTCCAAGGACAAAGTTAAACCCCAAATAAACTGGAAGTGGCTCACTCCATGGGACCTCCATGTGATGTTCCTCACCCCAGGGTTCCAAGCTCACCAAACTGTGGTTCTCCTGGGTTTTGGTTTTTGGTTTTTGTTTTTTTGGTTTTTTTTTTTTTTTTTTTTGGTGGAAATTTGGTCCTGGGTGTGCTAAAATCCTGGGAATTTTGGGTTCCAAGCTCACCAAACTTTGGTTCTCCTGGGTTTCGGTTTTTGGTTTGTTTTTTTTTTTGGTGGAAATTTGGTCCTGGGTGTGCTAAAATCCTGGGAATTTTGGGGAGGGAGGTGTGTATGATGGGATCTCATTCTGCTGTACATGCAGCAGAGCTGATGGGCTTTGGGATTTTTCCCGGTGTCTCCCTGTCTCTTGGGAAGAAATGGGAATTTATTATTTATTAATCAGGAGGGCCATGTGCTCCTGATTAACATTTTGGGATCCTCCCCATGCCCGGTGAAGGCTCCTGGATGCCGGAACAATGGCAATAACCACTCAATCCATGGAACTTGCTCCATCCCAGGCCAGTCTTATGGCTTTTTATTTCGGAGAGTGGCGCGGCGCAACCGGCAGTCGGACCCAGAATCGCGGGCCCTCTCCATCCGGCATCCCCTTTCACCCCGGATTTTGGGGTCCCCTAGAAGGGGGTGGTTTTGGGGAGGAGGGCCCCGGGTGCGCAGCAGGGCTGGGGGCGCAGGGGGTCCTGCTGGCAGGGCAGGGGGGGACACACGCAGCCCTTGGCGTCCCCGCGGGGCGCGGCGCAGTAATCCAGCGGCTCCTCCTCGTCCTCGCTGTCCCCTCCGTCCCCGTCGGTGGCGCGGCAGCAGCACAGGCCGGCGTCGCGGCAGCGGCGCAGCACGCCGTGGAAGGAGTTGCGGAAATTCTCGGAGAGCAATCCATAGAGGATGGGGTTGGCGCAGCTGTTGGAGTAGCTGAGCAGCAGCGAGGCGTTGTGCGCGCTGGCGTCCAGGCGGCCGGGCAGCAGCAGCTCCAGCAGCTGCACCACGTAGAAGGGCAGCCAGCACACCACGAACATGGCCACCACGGTGACCACCAGGCGCGTCAGCTTGCCCTCGG